TACAATATTAACACCGTGCATTTCTTATAATTTAGATACTCAAACTCTTTTTTGAATAAATTTGTAATTCAACCGGAATTATATTTAAAGGTTCGAATTATACGATGTGCTTCAACGTATGTGGGTTAACAAGATGTCGAAGTAAAATCGTGCACGTTTACTGTAGCTGCCTTTGCCGGAGTAGATCATTTGACTATGTAATAAACATTGTTTATTAAAAAGTAAATCTTGAGACCAATGTTTTATGAAATTTGTAACGAGTTTCGTCCTGAATAAAATACGTACAATATTCGAGTTCTGTTCGAGGCATTTCAGCACCAGCCGGATGATGCGTGCTTCCTTGACATTGTTTTCATACCCAAATCAATGCAGTCACAAATTGGGAATATCTTATTGTGAAACAACTAGTCCGTTGTTGGATGCAGAAACTTGCATCGTTACGGGGCGTGAAGGCTATGAGCAATATCATGAAAAGAGTGGCGATATGTCTTTGAGGGATATACATGGATTGATGATTATTCATCACTTTGCGTAATACCGTGGAATGACCTAAGGTTCTAGTTCTTACGGGAGTTTCAGATTCGAGCAGGTGCTCGCATCTCTAGGATTCTTGTCTGTATTCTAGCATGAAGTGGCTATCGCGTCTACCTGCATCAGTTATGACCAGATTTGGTAATGTTTTGAGGTACTAAATTTGGTAAGGGAGATAGTTTAGCACTCAAGAGGAGGTAAATTACCCTAACCTAACCTCCCCCAATCTATTGCCAAATTTGGCAAAATACCTACTACTAAATGAACACATACAAAGAATTCGTAGAATTTACATACTGGTTGGCCACCCCCACATTAAAATAGCACGCGTCAAGAGTAACGTACACGTAACTGTAAATCGGAAAAATTGATGTCTTACTGGGCTCAACAGGTTGTCTGGAAAACACGGATTTTAGCAATCTTCCTAAGCTCTTACTATTACTTCACAGAAATGGCGCTTTACGCGTAAGCTGCGCATAATTCGCGTAAACCATACAACAAGATTGCGATTGGAGTTGCTTACTATTCTAGCCACTACTTCTGATTGCTTATAATTTTAGGTCATAAATTTACTTGTCCAATAACATAAAATTCTCAATCAAGAAGACGAGCATTTTTCATGGCATTATTATTAACCACAAAACGCACCATAACCACCATATATGTGCACTTTATAATGGGTCATCCTTTCATTTATTCCGTACAGATCGACTATAAAAAAACATAATGATCAATTTCTTGCTTTACGAATATACTTTTTACATTAATAAATATCAAGTACTGTAATAAATAAAAACCGCTATATCGAACATTGTCTGAGTTTGCTATATCGGTTTTTCGATAAAACGGATTGTCACGATATAACGGACTTTATGCCTGTCCCGCGGAATCCGTTATATCGACTTTCACTGTGTATTTAATCGAGTAAGTTTTCTTTTTGAATGAAACAATGAATACAACTTTCCTTTATTAATATTATATACACAGCACAGTAAAGTCCGGTTTAATGAAGGTCCAGTTTAACGAAGATGGCTTTATAACGAAGTTTTTTTATAAAAATAGAGTCCGCTTTAACGAATAGTCCACATTAACGAAGTCAGGCGATGGAACGGAGCATTTCGTTAAATCGGACTTTACTGTGTATCTCCAGCACAAAGCGAACGAGACTTTTTTGACTTGCACGTGAGAAAAAACTTTTCAATTATCACGTTGTACAAATCATTGAATATAGTTTATTCAACCTTTCCCAATTGACAGATAAGGATGAAAGAGTCAAAAGACGAGAAGAAATCGATCACATCAAGTAGTAATAAAAAAAGAAAAAGAGAGAGCGAATTAAAAGATGCTGGCATAAAGGAATCCAAATCTAGTCACAGAGATAGCAAAAAGAAAGGAACAAAAGTGAAAAAATCAAAAACAGTGAAATCCAACGATAAGTCTAACTCTACGGAATCAGATAAGGAAGGGCTAGACACAGCTGTCGAGTCTCATACAATTAAGGAGGGAGGGCGAGTGAAAAAATCAAAGAAAACAGAGGGATCCGTCGACATATCCAATTCTACGAAATTGGCTAAAAGGAAGGGACAAGAAGCGCCTGATCCTGAGTTTAAAAAAGCGAAAAAATCAAAGAAAGCAAAGGGATCCGTTCAGATACCTGATCCAAAGGAGTCGGATAAGAAGAAAAGGCAAGATGAACCTGGTGATATTACTGTTGAAGTCTCTGCAATCAAGAAGGAAGCAAAAGTTAAAAAGTCAAAGAAAATAACGGAATCCAATTCTACGAAATTGGGTAAAGAAAAGACAAGCGAAACGCCTTGTGATTTTACTATTAAACCTTTTGCAAATGATCAAGCAACAATAAATTGTAAACCTAAAACAGTCGTAGAAGAGGAACCAGGTGTACATACGAAAGCATCTTGGAAGGATTACTATTCAAAACATGGCATTGCAGTAGACAGTGAAATTGATATTCCGCCGATAATGTCGTTCTCGCAGTTGAATGTCAACGCGCATGTCAAGCAAGTTCTCGGCCGATTTAAAGAGCCAACTCCAATACAAGCCGTATGTTGGGGGATTGGCTTGAGTGGCAGAGACGTCATTGGAATTGCAGAAACTGGGTAGGATGACTTTTTTTTATTCAGGCTATCTTCAAACTTTGATATGACCGTCATTAATGACCTCCCCTCCCCTCTCTCTCTCTATCCATACAAGTTCGGGTAAAACTCTTGCTTTCTTAGTTCCAGCAATGACCCATATTTCGAGATCCAAAGATAACTTTATAAAAACAAAGGTACTGATACTTGCGCCTACGCGGGAGCTTGCTCTGCAGATTGAAGCTCAATGTAAAGAATTTGAGAAAACGTGTGGTTTCAAGAGCCTTTGTGTTTACGGCGGAGTACAGAAATCAATACAACGTCAAGCTCTGCGCGAGGGAGCACACATACTAGTAGCCACTCCTGGCCGCTTAGTGGACTTTGTCAATGAACGTAGTTGTGACTTGAGCGGAATCTCGTTTCTTGTTCTAGATGAAGGTATGTTTTTGGACTTGTTGTATGCGCTCTTTTCTTTACCAAATCCTAAGTGTTTTTGTGATTACTAGCTGATCGGATGCTCGATAAGGGTTTCGAGGACGTTCTCCGCCTGATTGTTTCAAAATTGCCCAAAAAACGACAAACGGCCATGTTCTCAGCCACCTGGCCCGAACTTGTTCGCCGGTTGGCGCATGATTTTTTGTGCAATGCGGTTAAGGTCAATATTGGATCAGAGGAATTGTCTGCTAATAATAATATCAAACAAATAGTAGAAGTCCTAGAGGACAGAAATCAGAAAGAAGGTCGACTCTTAAGAATTCTTAATCAATATCACAAGAACGGAAACCGAGTGCTGATCTTTGTACTTTATAAAGCCGAGGCGATTCGTTTAGAAAATGCGCTTGTACGTCAAGGGTTTGAAGCACAAGCCATTCATGGTGATAAGAACCAATATCAACGCATGCAGGCTCTCCAAGCTTTCAGGGACGGTTACTCGCCATTGTTAGTGGCCACTGATGTTGCATCGAGAGGATTAGACATACCAATGGTTGAATACGTGATTAACTACACGTTTCCATTGACTATAGAAGACTATGTTCATCGCATTGGTAGAACTGGGAGAGCCGGCAAGACGGTTCGTATTAACTTCTGAACTACTGTTTATGTTTCGCTAGATGTCTTTATTGTTGGCTAATAGTGAATATCTTTGATAGGGCATTTCTCATACTTTTTTTACATCATATGACAAAGCTCACTCGGGAGAGTTAATAAATGTTCTAAAATCTGCAGGCCAGTGTGTACCTCCCGAGCTAATGAAATTCGGAACTACCGTCAAGAGGAAAGAACATTCAGCATATGGTGCCTTTTATAGAGAAATTGATCCTAATGTCAAGCCTACTAAGATCAAATTTGATGAATATTAGTAGAATGGCGGTGAGGTTATTTTTCTTTTTCGGGTAAAACATGTGCATATTAGATAACTCTAACAACATGTAAGAGAACTATTGTAATTAACCCGAAGAAAAAGAGGGTAGAATTCCTTCTAATTTGCGGATGGCAATATGAAGCATAAACGTATCATACGTTAACTCGTGCCACCGAAGAATTGGCAACCGGAACAATGAAATAAACTTTAACTTAAACTGCTCTTTGACAAAATGCAACCAAAGTAACTTGTGTGAGTATCTTCCAAAGGGATGAAGAGTATAATGCGGAAAAGTGTTCTAATAACTTTTTCAATTCTTTATCGTTACAATTCCTACCTTTTGCCGACCAAAGCCAGGGTTGAATGTCCAGTGTCATATCAACTACCAGAACATGGTTTCTTTAGCGCTTGATATTTAAAGAACGTGTAAGTCCTGTTTACACTGAGATTGTGTGTTAAACGTATCAGATAAATGCCTGACCTTATTAATCAAGATCATATGAATTTTTACTTTCCATCAATATCACAAAGTAATACAAGGCGCGGAATTCTAAATGTACCATTGTTTCGTAAGCTTATGCGTGATTACTGCAATTGTAGTGTTTTATCAGAGACCAATACAATACGTCGTCAGAGACTTTTGTTATCAATTATATGCATCATTCAACAAATCAAACTGCGACAATGCATGAAACTACTCATAAAACCAATATGCTGAGAAACTAAAAAGTTTCTGTAGATGAAAGATGATTGAACAGCGAGACTCGACTATTTCACTCCGGAACGCCTACAAGAACGAGCATATTGAAATCGAGTATCTTTCCAATTCAGTCCGTCATGATCCACAAACGGGTGAACTATTTTACGATATATTCAAAGACTTCAGAGGTTTAATGTCTTTCAACAAAGTGGCAACGAACAATAACGCGATGAACGATAAAAGCAACGCTACAGAAATGCCATGTAATTCGTTGTCTACTAAATGCTGTCAAGAACAGGAAGAAGAAAAGATTGTCGATGGAAACCATAAAGTTGAAGAAAGACGCGTCGAAGAAGAGAAAAAAATCCGCTGCGTGAATAAGCGTCTACGTGAAGATGATAATAGCCACAACACTAATGATGATAACAAAGAATCTCAGTCCAAACGACATTTGTTTTCATCATTGGACAATAATATAATAAACAGAGAGGAAAGGAAAATAAAAGAATGGGTTGGAAAGAATGAATACGAAATCACTTGTGGCAAAGAACGAATAATAAAGAAAGATCAGAAGGAAACGAAAGCAGACATTGCCGTGACACACAGACCATTACCTCTATCCACAAACCCATCATCCTCTTCATCCTCCTCACCTAAATTCGCGTTTTCTACTCTACTCTCACAATATAGACCTCGCCGTATAAAAGAAGTGATCCGTGGAAAAGAGGAACGCCGTCTGCTCCTGGCCGAACCCTGTGTCTGTTGTCGTGACTTCTACAACATGATCGCTCCTATAAAAATAAACCCAGGAATGACAAACATTCCCGAAGACATTAGACAGAAAGGGTATGCGGATGCTGACGATCTCTGTAGAATGTACGGCAGGCACAGGTACAGATATAGTAAGCGTCAACCGGGTGATTGGTATTGGGATATTAATGGTGGGAAGCTATTCAACAAGGCACAATTGGAGAGGATACGAAAGGAGGTGGAGGCGAATGACAAAGAATGGGAGGTGAGAAGGAAAAAGGAGAACGAGTACTGGGACAAGATTAACGCCAACAATAGCGTATGGAGTGCAGATAATTAGAAGAAAACGTGAATGAATGAGTGTGTATAGAACGTACTATCAAATGAATACATATTAATATCACATCGAAAGCGAGTGATATTCATGGTATACTTCCAAAATATTAAGACACAGAATTTACATCGTTTATGCTAATATGATGTATGCCAAAAATGATGCGATATACTGTATAAATATATCTCGATAAAACCATCCAATTATGTGTAATAGTTTCTTTGACGCTGAGACAATGAAAAAATCAGTTGCCTCAATTAGTTATCAATGACAAATATGCATTGAGTTTGTCTCTAGATTTACAATAGCAAGAATGTCAATTGTTTTGTTATAAAATCTTTTTTAAGTCAATTCCTCTTTGGTGTCAAAAACTACTAATGTAAACCCTTACAGTTATTTATCTGCATAAAATATAAAGCGATTGAGTTGAGGAAGCTCGGGCTCGGTTTTGATTTGAAGCATAGCGCTTAATCTCATAATTGTCAGATGCAAGCAATGAAAGATTTTCTATTACATCCTATTTCGTCTTTGATTACGAATACACTAGTGACAACTATGTCCAGTTCATGCGAGGTCACGCGGCCAAGCGTGTCGTCAAACTGGAGTTAAGCATAACGAATCAACTAAAAAAAAGCAATCAACGTGTTCTCGTTATTCGCAGACCGACATGACGACATTGTAACAAAATACGTAGTAAAACACCAACATATGCCGGGACTTACATATGCTATTCTTGTTATAATCTTTCATATACCATTCTAGCCATTGGTATGTGAGAAATAACGCAGCGATTTATTGTGACATCAGGTGCTTACTGCGCAACTAAAAGCCGGCATAAAATTCTATGGAATCCATTACGTATTTGATCATGTGGTAAATCATGTGGCAGCGCCTCAAAAGGCGCAACAATATAATACCGGTTTTATTTACTCAATTTCAACAATAAGAACTCTTGTTGGTAATTATACGTTAGACCATCAGAACATTACACAATTTTTAATGCGCTCAGTATTTTACAACAATACTAATGTAATACCTGAGCCGAGACACAAGTATTCTACATTTGTTCTCTCGTTTCTCTCTCAATTTGACCCTCCCGGCTTTCCACAGTCTCCTCCCAACAAACGTTCCATTCAGCCATTGCTACCCTTCCACTCCGTAATGTCTCGCTTATTGTCCTTATTATGCATGCAACCTCCGCCATTATGCTGCACTGTAAACCAATAATATATAACCTCCGGGTAAAAAAAAAAAGAGTAATGTAGTATACGTTTGTAATAGAACTATCAAAGAAAACAAGTAATAATACAGGTCCGAGATTTTCCTTAAACTGCTCTCGTGCATGATCTTTCAAACCATGGCACGATTTTTATCGATATTAATTAATATTCTAAAAACCTTTTGCCAGCTGAAAGTGAAGGTATATTTTCGGATTTGTTTTGCCTTTGTGGCTTATAAAACCCCGACCCCTGAACTGTTTGTGGCGTTGGTTTTTTTTTTTTTTTTTTTTTTGGTTTTTTTTTTTTATATACTAATGCATAATCTTTTTCGCCAATTATTTGGCAGAACACATGAGTTAACCAATAATAAACTCTATCAGAAAATTTGTAACCGCTAGCGAGTATAATGACAAATGAATAGTGCTTGATGATCAACATTAATATACGTGTACGCTATTACTATTACTAATTCAATAATAATGTCCGACGAACATATGAAGATATATATGATCGAGTCTATCCGTAGCATACATCTATATCTGCATACATAAACAATCTATGCAAACTACACACAGCATTCCAAAGGCAAACAATATAATAGAACATAAGCTCAGCCTCCATATAACTTGATTCAGTGTTCGACTTTTTTTTTTTCATCGATGAAAAAACCTTGGTACATGTTCGATTGGTTGTCTCTTTTGATAAGCAAGTGAGATCGCCAACATCCGAAAAGCATTTCCATCATAAGCCGATCATCCAAAAACCCCGTACATATATTCTCACACGCGCATTCCACGCAGTTGAGCAGATGTATGCACACGTGATCTTAATGTATGAATACAATTATCAGATATCTAACGATGCATGAATATATAGCCGCATCCAGACAGTTTTCATACTTCTCAATTTACAATAGATAAGCGATAATGGATGAAACGGGTTGGTGTATATGCAAGCAGTTGAATGCAGTGGAGGAAATAAGCCTATTCAAAACTTAAGCCGTCCTTTGACATATGATTGGGAGAAACAAATTCTTGTGGTGTGATACTCAAAGTGTAACACTAACTGCGAATCATGTGGTAATTGTCAGTTAGACATATTCAAGATGTGCTGATCGGCATGTGTTTGGGTTACTGTGATAAACCCTTCTCCACATCGACAAATACAAACGGCGCCAAATACTAATCACATAATTTTCATGCCGCTTTCACGCGATTGTACCCATTTCCGTTGACCGAAACGGGCGATGACCTGCGCACAAATTTACGTCATGAATATATGAATATAATTTCATACCCCTTATTATCGTCGGACCTTTTTCTCCACACAGCCCATCTGAAACATTTGAGATATAAAAGCATGTCTTTTCCATCCTTCTCATTTATAGAACAGTTCAAGTCAAATTACTGCGCAAATAAAACTCCCTGAAACACGTATATACACTTTGCAATTCTAGGCACAAATACCTCTCGTACTTAGACTATTACAACATGTCGCGCAAAATCATTGTATCAAATATCTCCGCCTCCGCCTCTGAAAAGTCAGTCAAAGACTTCTTTCTTTTCTGCGGTAAAATAAAGGAATTCGAACTGATAAAGTAAGCATCCAAGAATATTGACATACAATCGAATGGCATCCACCTACAAGTGCAACTTGCTCAAGGTCGAAACATTACACTGACAAAATCTATTTCTCTCTCTCTTAGAAAAGTGTCTTCTGACCAGCAGACTGCCTACATCACATTCGAGCGAGACACAGCCGCCAAAACAGCCTTAATGCTTACAAACGCAGTCATCGGCGATAGTCAAATCAAAGTAAGTTTAGCAGACGATGGTTCCTCTTCAGACGAAGCACCAGAACACGACGGCTACCTCTCTCAGGAAGACAAACCAAAAGCTGCCATCTTTGCCGAAATACTCGCTGCTGGCTACCAGCTCCATGATCACATCCTCGAACGTGGGGTAGCATTTGATGCGCAATACGGATTATCTAACAAATTCAAACAGTACCTTGCACAATTGCAGGACCAATTGAAAGTATTAAACGACAAGTACAAAGTTACCGATCGTGTTGCCGAATTGGATCAAAAGTATCATGTGCAGGATAACGTAAAGAGAGTAGCATCACAAGCCCAGGATAAAGCTACTACGGCACTGTCTACTTCGACCGGTAAACGATTGCAGGAATTCTATATGTCAACAACGAAAGTTGTGAGTGATGTTCATTGTGAGGCTAGGAGAATTGCTAATCTGAAGCGGTCACTAAAAATCACAGAAGTCGAAGCTCACTAGAGCCGATTACGCAAATACTTATATAATCATGAACGCTTATATATACTATGATTCTTTTATATAATTACTTTTTTTTTTCTTTCTCTTAATTCATTTTCACTTTATAGTCTGTCCAGTGTTTGAATTTCAATGTTTTAAAACATACTTCTTACTGTCATAATCTCGTTTCCTTTCTAACTTACCACATTGAAAAGGGTAAAACGAGAATTCTTTTTCATTTGTTCATTCTCGGTCGTGTAAAAGAGTTCAGGTTGGTCAAATCGCACAGTACAATATACTGCCTTTAGAACAGTGTCTAGTGCTTGAGATGTTTACTCGTAAATAAACAAATAACATTCACAATAAACATAGGGATTTATTTGGTGTTATCAAAACATCCAAAGTATAAATAGTAAGTAAGGCCTATAAACATTAATTTACCCAAAATGGCACAGTCTCTATGTTATATAAGTAATAAGACCGAGCAATTCATTATAACTGGCAGCCTGTTGGTATCGTTCTCAACGCTTTGACTGGCTGCATTCACACTACGAACTTCTTCCAATGAATCACTTATTCGTGAGCGAAGCAATTAAATAACGTTCTAGCTGGAAACTATAATTGAGATTTAATCTCTTTTCCGATTGCGCTGGGAGTATTAGAAAAAACCCACTGCAGCTTGGTCAACCTGACAGTACAATTCCCTACATAGACGAGAAACTTATTTCCGTTGAAAAATGTAAGACCCGGCAACTGACGTCTCTTGCACGAGATAAACACATCCAGTGGTAAGAATTATGTTGATCGACCAGATCTTAGCATCCAATCAGATTACTCAGAAACAATTTCTTTTTCCGTGTTGTATGCGGAAGGGCAAGTATTTGACGGCATGCTCGTTCGAACTTGCACGGGCTTTGCTTTTCTTCTTCGAACATTGTCTAACAAGTGTTTTATTGGACATCGATACCATAGATATTTGCACGGGCGTAGAGCTTCGCTGCCTGCTCTTACTGTACAACTTGATGTCAGTTCTAGAGAAATTCACGCATTAAGCAAGGGAAAAAGTGATGTAAACATTGTGCATTTAGGGCAATGGCTGCCTGAAAATTCAAAGAACGCGTCAAGCAAATGTTTGTTTGTTAGACGGTTCTCTCGTTCCACGCATGATGGTGGTGAAATAAATGTGGATGGTTCTGGGATAAAAGAAACCGTGTATGAAGCAGATGGGAATGAAGCAAAAAATACTATCGAGAAAAAACCGCATTTAAACAAAGAAACCACGAGCAGTCAAGGACTTTTAACTGATAAACAGCTTATTAAAACTTTTCGTAAGATCGCGACGAAAAATAAAAAAGAACACCAGGAGACTGTCAAAGCATATTCAGAAAGACAGTTAAAGGCGCTATGGGAACTATATGAGATTCTGTGTTCAAATGACTCGACGGAAGCTCAGCTTGTTATCCAGGATCTTGTAGTCCTATTGAAATATATGGTACGTACCGGCGGAAACTACGGAGTCAGATTGACACGGATTAAAAGTCATCTTACAAAGAGGAATGTGAAACCGAGTGATAAACCTTATGCACTCATGATCGAACTTTACAATAGGTATAGCTTATGGACTGAAACCATATCGATATATTGTGAGATGGTGAATAATAATATCATGCCCAAGGAAAAAACAGTTGTCGCAATAGTCGAGGCGTACAAACGTGTAGGGAATTTAAAAGGTCTGTTAGACAAACACGCAGAATACTTTGACAAGCAAGAAACTATACCAAGCGAAATGTTTGCACTGTTGATAATAGCTTCCTTAGAGTCTGAAAAGAGAGATCAAGCAATGGAATTCTTTGATCGAATGAAAGCAGCTAATATTCGGCCGTCCAAAATTATTTGCGAGGCTATGATCTGGCATCTAGCCCGATTCCAAATTACGTACGACTCGGCTTATATCTCACTCCCAATAATGGTGCAATATACTTTCCGGGTATATGAATATGCCAAGTCTCTCGAGATTAAAATAGGTCATCAGGCTACGAATCACCTTTTGGAAGCTCTTGTTGACCAAGCTTTCATTAGTGAGTCGATTGTTGTACTAGACGACTGTTTAAACAAAGGCCGACAAATTCATAACAGCTTGTTTAAACGCATATTTAATAATTGTGCGAACGCTGGTCGTGTTGGTGATGCTTTGAGTCTTGTTGACATTATACAAACTCGGAACATTCCTCTTGACGTAAATGCGTATACTTGTCTTATAAAAATGTATGCGAAAAGACGGGAGATGAAGCAGGCCGTCAAATATTACGAGGCCATGATTGAGGCACAGCAAGCCCCGAGTGAAATCACTTACTTGACTTTGATAAGCGGGTTTGTCAGACAGTCTCGAATAGAAAAGGCGCAAGAGTATTTTGACTTGCTGCGTAAGTCTACAATTCCTTGTAATAAAATATATACCGCTCTTATGCATGGTTACTTACTTAAGGGAATAATAGACAAAGTCGACGCGTTATACGATGACATGAAGTCAAATGGACAGGAACCAACAATAGTCACTTATAACGTCCTTATTTATAATTCAACATTGAAATTAGAAATGGAAACTGCCAAAGCCTTCCTTGCCGAAATGCGTTCTGTGGGAATTCAACCAGATGTTTCTACTTATTGTATAATGGTACAAGGATATATTAGAGAAGGCAACTTTAAAACTGCTTGGGATATTTATTATTCTATGGTGGAGCGGGGAATCGCGAGTAATCCTGTCGTTGCAACAGCATTATTGTCGGTATATGCCAAGACTAGCGACTTGGGAGGATTAAAGAAAGCCTGGAATATCTTGTTCAAACGTTCGTTTGAAGATGAAATACTTGATGAAGAAGAGGATACGAATAGGCAGACTAAAGCCAAGCCCAATATCATCACTTACACAGTCATTGCCCATTCTTTACTCAAAAAAATTACTAGCCCAGTGGTTGCATACGAGCTGTACCAGAAATTCTGCGCAGAGTTGTTTGACTATTCATTCGTGAACAGGGAAAAGAACTTAGGTACAAAGGGGCTATTTGAACATGCACGTACTCAGAGACTTAACCCGGATTGCGCCTTTTTTAATGTGTTTATTAGTATACTAGCAATACGGCTTCAGAACATGTCACTTGCTACAAAGATATATCAAGACATGATACGACGCAGAGTATGGCCTGACGTCGCTACATATACTATAATGATGGCAGGGTATGGAATTAGAAATCGACCAGATGTAGCAGATAGTATATACAAGATTATGAAAGAGAGAAATATCGAACCCAACATATTTACGTTTGCCGTTCTAGCAAGAGCGTGGGCACATCAGAACAATCTCCCAAAGATGCAGGAAATTCACGAAGACATGATATCTTGTGGAATCCTTCCTGATCAGCGGGTATACTTAATATATAAGAAATTCCTTGAAAAAATGGGAGTAGCATCAGGCAGCGTGGAATGGGCAGAGGAAGAGAATAGAGAAGAATCAGATGATTTATTTGATGTTAGGAATCCTCTCAAGATGGCAACGACGTCTGCATTATCTGAGGGTATTTCGTGCCGATAGCAATAACCACCTCTTCAACGTGATGACAAACACTCTGTATGGCCGCATCCCACTTTGCGCCCAACACTCCACTACTTTCAAAGAATATCAACCTTTCGATCTGATCAATAGTGCCTTGCATGCGACCTTGCTCAATCATCGAACTAGCAATCTGCTCGGCTTGCTCGGGCGAAATTGCCAGCAGCGATCCGAGTTCCTCGAAAGTTATATTATTATACAAACGAGAGGCAGACAGCAAGTTATGCTCTATAACTGCACGGTCAAGCACAGTTGTGCCGTCAGCAAGTACGGCACGCTGATGATCTTTCAATGTAACTGCGAATTCTTGAACTTCGGATGGTCGTAGAACACGGTCAAGATACATCTTTTCGAGTATGGAAAAGTGTGGCAGCCGTTGGGCACGTTCATCCTTATAAAGCGTTGCGAGCATGCGTGAACGTGGGGGTCCGGCACCGGCGAGAACGGCGCATGTTATTGCTGCGTTTCTGATTGTATATAGATTGTGAAATAAATTATGTCAGTTTAGAACTATGTATTCTCTTGTAAATATTATTAACATTCAACAATGTACTTACAGACAATGCTGCTGCTCGTCCGGATGCAAATCAGATACATAGCTTAACTCGTGATATTTAGAACTGGCCTCAAGAAATTTACGCTTAAAGTCGAGAATTCTTGCTTGCGATAATTTAAATGTCAAAAGGATTTCTTGGTCCTTGCAATTATGAACCAGCAGAGCAGCACGACTTAAAAACGTTTCCGCAGAAACAGCTTCGTCATCTTCGAGCAATAGACGAACTATCTTTATATATATTTTCAGTTTATAGTCATCTGGAATGGTTCTATGACAATTGATCGATCGATATTTAGGTACAAGAAGAAATCGACATAATTCAGTCAATGATTGAACAACACTAGTAATTACCGATGCCCTGAATCCAACGGAATTCCTTGTAAGACGCGAGCAGCTTCTTTCCAATCTTCTTCAAGTTCATATATATCAGCTAGCTTCTCACGTAAAGCGGATATCTATGGGATAAACGCAAGTAATGACTACTAGCATTAGCCCGTGGGCAGGCCGCCGCAATCGTAAAGGACCGACTCACCCAGGTACGTACCTGTTCCTCAAAACTAACTATACGCGGTTGAATTTTATTTAATGCGAAATGCAAGACTCGTCTTTTGATGTCAAGATCAGCTATTTTATCTACACCCTGAACAAAGTCTGATAGAACTTGGCGCGAAATCACAAGACCAACGTGTTCTTGCACTATGTAGTCAACGAAAGTTTCTAAATCATTGGCCAACGCATTCTGATTAGTGTTTGCGAGGCATATGTCTAGAGCAGCACGATATTCGGCAGTCTTATCCTTTTGTGAAGAGATCTTGGATATTTCGTTAAGACGCTGAGCAAGAGCTTCGGACATGTTTTTAAAAAGTTAAAAGTCAAAGGCTTTGAATGGTCGTGACTCGACTAAGCAAGATCTGCAATAAGAATTACATCACACAATAAATATAAAATATAGGGTACCACATGAGCCTTGATAGATGCGATAGCCATTTCATGACTAGAATCCTGCTCGAATCTGAAACTCCTGTAAGAACTAGAACCTTAGGTCATTCCATGGTATATTACGCAAGTGACGAATCGTCAATCCATATATCCCTCAAAGACATATCGCCACTCTTTTCATGATATTGCTGCATAGCCTTCACGCCCCGACGATGCAAGTTTAACGGCATCCAACAACGGACTAGTTGTTTCACAATAAGAAATGTTTAGATATTCCCAATTTGTGACTGCATTGATTTGGGTATGAAAACAATGTCAGGTCAGGAAGCACGCATCATCCGAAATGCTTCGAACAGAGTTCGAATGTTGTACGTATTTTATTCAGGTTCTCAAGATTTACTTTTTAATAAACAATGTATCATATTTTATTATATAGTCAAATGATCTACCCCGGCAAAAGGCGTAAACGTACACGATTTTATTTCGGCATCTTGTTAACTCAACCATATTGATATACGCGAAGGCACATCGTATAATTCAAACCTTTGAATATAACTGTAAATAAGCCCGGTTGAATTACAAATTTATTCAAAAAAGAGGTTGAGTATCTAAATTATAAAAAATGCACGGTGTTAATATTGTAAATTGACTTTATTTGTATCCACGTGTAATCATACCTGCAGCTGAATCCATATCATAACTATTTCTCGGTTTAGGCAAATCTCCAGTAGGTAAGAGCGTACTAGAATATTTACTCTCCTTTTCGAGGCGTGATAACGGTTTTACATCATTATGATAAACGGCATTCCATATGTCAGAATTGTCGTTTTTCACCTTTTCAACAAGCTTGCCAATAACATCCCAATAAAGTGAATATGCATCTGGACGCTTATCAGGATCAGCATCACAACACCGCTCG